GGCATGTCCCTGTGGTTCTAGCTACTTGGGTGGCTGAGGCCGGAGGATGGCTTGAGCCCAGGAATTCAAGGCTGCAGTGAGCTATGGTCACACCATTGTACTCCAGCCTGGGTGACAGAGTGAGACCCCATCTCTAAAGAAAGTAAAAATAAAAGACAACATTCCAGTTTTTCTGCTGTTTTAGCCCCAGGCCCTTACTACTGATTCTCTAGTACTTTGGTCAGAAAAAAAGTCCTTATCAAAAAGAGCTACTTTGGAAATATATACACTCAAGAAGAATGACTAACATTCATGTATAAAACTCTTTTCAGACTTTTTTTCCATTTAATCTCCATATCAACCGTGTGAGGTAGTCACTCATTATCGACATTTAATAAAAGGGACTTGAAGTGGTTGTCATACATGACACACATAACAAACCCAAACCCAATCACAGTTCCTCTGACCCCTGTCTGGTCTTCTTTTAGTTGCATGGCGGTATCTATCTTGATATCATCATTTGATCACAACAAACTTTTCCTAGCAAGGAGGCAAACGATAGAAAGCCATTCTGAAAATGTGCCTAGGATTTGTAGGAGAAAAAGACCTTCCATGGAATTCATCTTTGGTGTGTTTTGTTCAGTGAACACCCTTCTTCCACGTCAGTTTAAGGCTGGTGGCCTTTCTTTCCTCTGTGGTGAATGTTTATGGGTTTTCCTGCATATTGGAAGGGTGAGTTTGGACATCTTCCTGGTCACCGGAAGGATGAACATGGACCCTTGGGACTGCTTTCACCTGGAAGTCATCCTTCGGGGAGCCCAGATCCTGGAATTGCAGTTCCTTCTCTGTGTGTGTCCACCAGACTTCAGTAAGGGAGGTCAGCCTGCATGGAAAGTGTAGCACTGGAAGGGCCCGAGGCATGTAGCTGGCTCCCAGCCTCTTATTTTCCCTTTCAACTGGAAGGTCGTGTTCATTCGAGCTTTTAAACCAAAAATAAATTATTATAATCCATTTGCTAATTATACCATGTTGAAGTTCTAGACGCTGTAAATTGCAGCCGTGATATATCTAGATGAAGTTTCGGAGAGTTTATTTTTAGCTACTCAGAGAGCACTCGGTTTCCTAGAGGCTTCATTTGCAAGTCTAGGAGGGAACAGGAAAATGCATTTGCACAGCCCTCCTTGTCCTGTGACTAGGAGTCGCTGAATCTCTCTGGTTCACCTCTGTCAAAGGAGTTGGTGTAGTGGTTCCCCTGAAGGACTTGTCTGTCTTTAAAGTTCTAATTCTTATGTCCTCGCTATGGAAAATAGAATGTGTCTAAACATGGACTTTCAGGGCCCAGCTGATCCTAGAGAATGTCAAAAGACAACACACCAACACATGGGTAAACAAGGGACACAAGCCTTCAGAATCCTCAGGCTCAGTGCTCAGGAGATACATTGACCCCCTTCTCTATCCTCATTTTGGGGGTTGGCTGAAGAGAGGATGAAAAAATTTTCTATTTATTTGGCACCTACTATCTGCATAACACACTCTTTAGTACTTGCATTTGAGTGGTTTTTTTTTCATGGTCTCCCCCATCCAAGGCCAATGTCATCTAGTTTCAGTCATACTCATTGACCTCTGTGTGCCAGCCACTGGGCTTGGTTCTGAAAACATCTAAGATGAAGTGGCTGCAACTCTTAGCTCCAGAGAGACCAGAAGGGGAGGTGAAGTATGCAATGAATATGTGGAAGTGCTTTCCAAGATGCAATATCAGCTATGAACGATGGAATACCAAGAGTCAATGGACTTAACACAGATATATCTATAGTTGTGGGTAGGAGGTCCAGGCTCATTTATGCCTGTTGGGGGTGGAGAATCAGGAAGGACTTCAAGAATAAAGAGGCATTTGAGCCAGGCTTGATGTGTAAATAGGTTTGTTAAATGTGGGGATTGCGTAAGGGAAATCATACAGACTTGGCTTTGGATACTGCCCTGGCCAGGTCACATGGGTAGCTGTCCTTTGCCGGTCAGTTAATAGCACATGGCACGCAGCGCACGTCCCCTCCCCCAAACACTGTAATGTCTAGCAAGTTTTCTTCAAATCTGGCAAGAGTATGATACATGTTTTCAAAGGGGAGCATCAAAACATCCTTGGGAGCAATTCCTTTGTCAGGATGTTTCTTGTGTTCAGACACAATCTTCGGCTGTATTTGTGTAATTTCTGGGTGGAGGGATGAAATGAACGGTCAGATGGATGAATGGGTGGTTTGGGATCACTGTTCAACTGCCACAAGCAATGAAATGGGTGCAGTGAAACTGCCCAAGCTTGCTAATAGCTTTATGGTAAGAGCTTGAGCCTTGAACGAGGGATAGAATTTTCTCAGCACACAGTGTAGATAAAGGTCGTCCATTCTGAGGGAAGCAAAATGGCAGTGTGAAATGCATGACATTGTGGAATATGGTGAGTCACAGAAGCCAGGGTCTAGGCATGTAGCATGAGTAAGTGTAGGCTGAGGGTACAGGCCTACACTTGAATCAGAGGGATTCTGCCACACAGTAGCTGAGTGATTCTGGGAAAATTACATCACTTTTCTAAGCTTCTGCTTTCTCATCTGTAAAATGGGAATATTAACATTACCTATCTCAAGTGTTTATTGTGAAGACCCAGTAAAATAAAGCAATCTTAGCACAGTGTTGTCATGCACTTAATAAATGCAAGTTTATGATTGCTATTTTATTGTAACACTTCCAATTAAATTACAAAAATTCCAGTCCAAACCACAGAATTTAAGAAGGAGGCAGAGCAGGGCTCAGCCTGTAATCCCGTGCCTTTGGGAGGCTAAGGTGAGTGGATTGCCTGAGCCCGTGGGTTCGAGACCCGCCTGGGCAACTTGGCGAGACCTCATCTCTACAATAAATCAAAAATTAGCCGGGTGTGGTAGTGCACGCCTGTAGTTCCAGCTACTTGGAAGGCTGAGGTGGAAGGAACGCCGGAGCCCAGCAGGTTGAGGCTGCGGTGGCCGGGAGACTCCAACTCAAAAAAAAAAAAAAAAAAAGGAGGCAGAGAAAGTCCCTAGAGGAACAGAAAAAGAATCAAGAGAGACTGATGGTATAGACGAGGAGGCAAGAGAGTTCTAGAAGGAAGGGTGGTCCCTGCTGACAAATGACCTAGAGAAACTGTAACAGATCGAGAAAAAGTGTCTGGAATTTGCAATGACAACATCCTTATGATCTTAAAGAGAATATTCTGGGGGTAAAAGCCACAAAGCAGTGATTTGTGAAACGTGTGGGAGTAGAGGAAGTGGTGGTCTAGACGACTCTTTCAGAAAATGTCTCTGAGAAGGAGAAAACAAACTTAGGGTGAAGTCAGGGACAAGGTCATGGGAAGGGCTGTTTGCTGAATGCATATCTGAACTCAGCACAGCGTGTCTTGACCTTTCTAAACCCAGGCCCCATTCAATAGACATAAACATTACTCTCTCCTTCAAGACCGATGTTCGCCTAACACCTAGTCACAGCTCCATTTGGTAGCCACACCTGCCAAGATCTTGTATGGATTTACTTCCTGTAGTTGTATTTTTTAAACAGTAGGAATTTAATAATCTGTTGGCATACAGCAGGTAAGAATTGACATAGGCATTGCAGATGATGAGGAGGATAGACTTGAAAGACAGTAAGAAGACTGAACTGAGCAGAGGTGAGGAGTGAGGGGCGGGGAGGAGTCAAAGAAGGACCCTGGAGTTCTGGCATTGAGGACTGAGTGAATAGCGGCACCAATTGGTATGTGTCCTTTCCCTAAGTGGGTCCTCACTCCAACCTGCCTGGGTGACACTGCATGGGTTTGTTAAGACCAAATGACTAACGTGGTGATCATTTGGAAACTTTAAATGCTTTATAAATGTGGGCATCATTATCGATATCGTTATTAGCAAAAAAGAGCATACCTCGATCTCTTTCCTGTGCACTGTCTGCACAGCCTCATGACTGTGAGTGTAATTTTAAGTGCTGGGAGGGAACAAGTGTGTATTGCTCCTATACCTTTTTACGGATGAGGAACTGGAGGTGCAGAGAGGTTTTTTAAAAAACTGGCGCTAGATTACACCCAACAACTGGTGAGTGCACATTCTTTCTAAACACACATGGCACATTCAGAAAAATTGACTATATCTTAGGCCATAAAATACATCCCAGTGAATTTCAAGGAGTCAGTATCCAGCAGACCAAATTCACCCACCACAGGGCAGTGAAGTTAGAAATCAATAACAGAAAGATGAGAGTTTTTTTAACCTATATTGAGATATATTTACAAAAATACTTCCAACGAACTCATAGGTCAGAAAGAAATGATAATAGCAATTATAAAGTGCATATAAATGAATGATCAAAGTAATATTAAATATCACAAGTTATGGAATATAGCCAGAACAGCACTTAGAGGGAAATTTATGGCCTTAAATGTTTATATTTAAAAAGAAGAAGGCCTGAAAATTAATGAAATAGACTAAGTCTCCAATTTAAGCACAGTGTGAACATAAATAAGTAAACCAGCCCAGCGTTCTGCAGTCATAAATGATGGAGCCAGGATTTGGGCATAGTGATGGCTGTTTCCAAAGTCCTCACTCCCTTACACCAAGTACCTCTCTCTCTTTGCTGTTTTCCATAATATGCTTAGTGTTTGGAAATCTCTCTCCCTGAGAGTTGAAGAAATGAGCCTGCAGGGTAACTTCCTGCATGGAAAGTTGATGATAAGTCTCACTTATTCACTCATTCATTCTTTTCCTTGTTCATTCACTAACTTTTATTGAGCATTTGCTATGTGCCAGGCACTGTGCTAGTAACTACCTTAGCATCCTCTTTCCCCTGAGCATTCAGAAACTAGCCTTCATTCAGCCTGGGGCCAATGCTAATGCCTCTGCTACTAATGCCCACCCCACACCTCAGCCGCACTCCCCCAAGCTGCCAGAATCTTCTCTGTCGCCTGTCAGAACAGAAGCCTCATCAAAATTGACTGATATCTCTCTTGTCTCTTTCAACAGGTAGACTGAAATTACCATGTGTCCAAATTAAAATTGCATACTTCAAGGATTATTTGAAGGACTATTCTTAGACCCTTTTAAGAAGATTTAAAGAAAAGTGAGTTGGTTTTTTTTTTTTCACTTCAGAGAGTATTCATGATTTAAGTTAATGTTATGGGTGCTTTTCTTCTCTACCTCTTAAATATGCTTTAATAGGTAGACTTTATCTTCATTTATTGTATAATAAAGGTTTTCTTTTTCACCTAAGAACAATGAGCAAGAAGGACAGGATTACTGCTTGCCTTCCTTGTTAGGTTTTCATACGTTTCAAAGTCTTGTGGAATCTTAAAGATGAGGGTTTTCAAGGCATGGACCATCCCCTCCTTGATGCTAGGTAGCCGTGGCAGCATTTCTGTAGATCACTGGTCTGCCCTGAGAAACCTCCTGGGTCTGCTGGGGAAGTTGGTATCTCTCCATATGTAGGATTTTTATAGAATTCTCCCCTGAAATCTGGATTTGAAATCCACCCCTCCTCACATCTTGCTAAACCTCTTTCTTCTCTACTTGATGGTCCTGTAAAGGATTAACCATGACGAGCATGCCCCTCCTCGAGGTCTTTTCTTATTCTTTGCCCCTCCAATAACTTCTCATAATTTGGTTTCGAGAGCATCTCCAGTGCTAGTCCCCTTGTTATCAATCCAGTACACATCTCCTTAAAAAGAGACACAAACCTGGAATACAGACAGAGCACCGCCAGAGTTCTTTACCCCAATAGACAGATGGGAATCAGAGGAGGATAAATCCAAAGAGAGACCTGGGTTCCAGTCCTGGTTCTAGTCTTGCTGTGTGTTCAGAAAAGTCATCATTCTGAGCTTGGAGAAAACAAGGAATGTAGGATGAGATAGCTCCTAAGATGCCTCCCACCTCCCTGTGAATGGTTTTGCTGACTCAAAGGAGAGAAGTTCTGCTTCTCACTGTCTCAGGCATTGGAACGGGCTAGGATTGGGGACAGTGGGGTCTGGGCCCAATCCCACTTACTCCTTGTTGGCTGCGTGATTATAGACTGTCACTTCTCATCTCTGAGCACCTGTTTTCTCAAGTGTGAAATAAGGACTTTTTTCTTCTTCTTTTTGAGTCAGGATCTGTCGCCCAGACTGGAGTGCAATGATATAATCACAGCTCACCACAGCCTCATTGACTTCCTGGGCTCAAGCAATCCTCTTGCTTCAGCCTCCCAAGTAGCTGGGACTTCAGATGTGTACCACCACACCCAGCTATTTTTTTTTTTTTGGTAGAGATGAGGTCTCTCCCTGTGTTGTCCAGGGTGGTCTCAAACTCCTGGGCTCAGGCAATCCTCTCACCTTGGCCTCCCAAAGTGGTGGGATTATAGGCATGAGCCACCGTACTCAGCCAAGGATGTTAATATATGTTACAAAGGATTTGTGTGAGGATGTGCTAGGATCATGTATGTAAAGCACCTAGTGCATTATACCTGGAAGAAATTCCATACATGGCATTCTCTAGGATTATTATAAGTAGTGATAGAACTGCTTACCTTTGGACAGAGAAGACAGAAGGTGCTGGAGACTTAAAGGGAAGAGAAAAGACAAGCTGTGGGCATACTTACTCTAGAGAGGGGAGAAGTGTCCACATTCTACAAACTCAGCTGCAAATATAAGCCCAACCCCAGAAAGTTCATTAAAACTCTGCTTCTCAGAGTCGGACAAGGATGGATGGGCTGCTGTGGAAATAGACAGTGAAAAGGAAAACTTTTAGAGTATGTCTGAGAAGCGGCATGAATTCTGCCAACCTCCAGCTGCTGCCAAAGCCCAGCCCTGGATAGTGAGGATCAGTGCCCCTAAGACAAGGGTCCTTAGGCCCAAGCCTTGGAGACCTTGCAGACCATCACTTATTTATATATGTTCAAAAGGCTGGTGGAGAGAGTGAGCATGCAAGAGATTTGTAAACTGTGAAGTGTCCTGCATATATATGTGCTTGTGTATTATTCATGGATATTGAACTATTTCAGTGCTTTGGAAATCAAGAGAAAGAATAAAACTCAGATAAGCTGAGTTATAATGAACCCATACAGTCCAGCCCACAGATTTCTGAGTGAAGCGGTGTGTATGTGTGTGCGTGAACACACCTGTGTATTTGTGTGTGTGCATGTTTGAGTGTGTATGAATCTTTGGCCCTTTGGATATGGTCACCACTCTTTACCCAGTGACTGGCTTTAAGGAGTATAGCATAGGAATGAAAACACAGGTTATGGAGCCAGTCAACCTAGCTCTGTAACTGATTTGCTGTGTGACCTCGGTCATATTCTTTGACAAGAGCCACACAGTCCTTGCTGTGCTGGAGCTTAAAGTCCATGGAAAGGGTTACTCTGGGCATTTGGGAGGATACTTTATAGAATGAGCCCTTCACACTAAGGTGCTCAGGATATGGGAAAGCCCTTCGCCCTGGTTAATGGCTTTCATCAGAGTTTCGAGAACATAGTCTTAACTTGCTGGATGAAAGGGAGGTATTTTTAGTTCCATAAGAGCATTCCCTGGAGGGCCCAGGCTGGAGAGGGCCTCCACGGCTGGAGAGCCTATGTGGGCAAGCACAGTGTCTCACCTTACTGAAAGGCCAGGTCCAGAGAAGAAGACAGACAACCTAATAGAAAAATGAACAAAAGACTCAAAAGAGGATATTCACATGGCCAAAAAACATATGAAAACATTATTACTCTTCAGGGAATCTCAAATTAGAGCCACAATGAAATATCTCAGAATGGCTGAAATGAAAAAGATTACACATAGTGTCATGTTGGCAATAATGTGAAGCACCTGGAACTCTCACACACTGCTGGTTGAAGTGTAATTGGTTTGATGACTTTGGAAAGCTGTCTGGAGCATCAGCTTAAGCTGAACATACACAGTTAGCACTTTCACTCCTTGGTATCTACCCCTGACAAACACACACATATATCCACCAAAACACACATCCATCCACTTATGAAATGAATAAACACAGTGTAGTATATTCACACAGTGGAATATTACACATGGCAATATTGGTGACCTGCAGAAACATGAAGTTGAAAGAAAGAAGCAAGCACAAAGAAACTTTATGACTGCACTTAGTAAAGCACAAAACTAGACAAAAACGAATCGACAGGAAGGATCCCCCCAAAAGCAGAATTTATTTCTATAGAATTGTATATTTCTTCTTACATGTTTAAACTTCAGTCACCTCAAAGTACTCTCTGTTTGATGCAGTGTATGTATCGGGATGATTTTTGTACTGCTCAAAACAGTTTTTGAACTTGTTACTTTTGATGCCTTTCGGTGCTTCTGCCTTTTTTTGTTTCACCTCTTCCACATCAGCAAAACGTTTTCCTGTGAGGACTTTTTTCATCCAGGGAAACAAACAAAAAGGTGCTTGTGGCGAGACCAAGTGAATAGGGCGGGTAGGGTGTGGGGATCATGCTGATTTTTTGGACAAAAACTGCTGAACACTCAGCACAGTGCGGGCAGGTATGCTTGTCAATCACCCATCATGAAATGGGCAAAAACGCTGAAAGAATCTCCAAAACACAAAAATTCACTGAAGCCGAATGCAGCCTCTCACAACAATCCTAGCTGGTGCACTGATGCCGATGGGCTCCGCGAACACTTACCTAGCAGGGAAAACCTATACTACAAGGGGTCTGCCCTTCAAAACATAATTCTGGTCTTTTGGGGTCCTCTCTCGCATGTTGTCAGAAGTCTGGGTGGTGGTTGCCCTTGGGGCAGAGTAGGCAAGTAGAGGGAAGGCAGAGAAGCTCTCCTGGTACCAGTCTTCTGCCTTTCCACCTAAGGGCAGGTTATGGAATATTTTCAATTTGTGGAAATTCACCAAGCTGTTCATTCATGATATGCAGCCTCTATTGTACTTATGTCATATTTCAATAGAAGTCTCTAAAATGAACACAACAGAGAAGAAAACATAGCAGGTGGTAAAGGTAAGCATCATTAAGTGACACTTCGGTGACATGTCCCTCTCAATATGCATGGGTACTGAGCTGAGGTGTCAGAGGCATTTCATACCGTAAGTCCCAGTCAGAAAACGAGAGCTGCTTATTTAGTCTGACCTTCCTGTTTTCAGGTGAGGAATTGGAGCCCCAGAGAACAGGGGAATTGGGTACAGAGCTGGGAGGAAGACAGAGCTAAGAAGAAATCTCTAGGTCTCCTGCTACTGATTCTACACTGAGCCCGTTTTCACTGCCTGGGTGGAATGGCGCATTCAGATTAGTAAGCTCAGTCTGGCACCTTCATCTCTGGGAGGCAGCCTTGTGGTTTTGGTCCAAAGGGAGCTGTTGTTTTTCCACCCACGGACAGTAGAGTTGGAGGCCCAGCCACCTCTGCAGGGGCTTGGCTCCAGCTCCCCAGGTCCCCTCCCTCCTCCTTCCTGCCTCTTCTGTCTAAATCTGCTTCCCTCAGAGCGCCGGAAACACCACTGCACTCAATTCTGTTTTCGTTTGTGGAAAACGACTGTCATGCCAAAGCTGTTTGATGGTTATAGAAGTTGGAAAACTGTGAAGAAAATACACTGGGAGAACAAGATCTGACAGGGTAGGCTTCAGTTCTGGCTTGGTGCTTTTGTTTTGTTTCAGCGTTGTGGGTCCATTCAGCAAACCTTTTCTGTGGGGTCAGGGGGCTCTCAGGTTCCGAGAGTATTAGAAGAGCTAGATGCGGGCCTGTTCCTATCAGGCAGAGCTGCTCTGAAGAGGAGAATGTGTGGATTTTTAAAGACTCAATCTGACCCTCACATAGGTCCTGGAAGCACCTTAAATAGAAGGGTAAATGTCATCAGTGACTTGCTGACTCTTTTACCCACAGCACAAAATACATGGGACATCTGAACTCAGGACACATTCCCACCCACACAGATAAACAGGTGAGGCTTAAGATGGAACAGCCCAGGCCGCCAAAGGAGAGACCTCTAGCCCACCCTTGGGGATAAGGAGTCAGGGGTGGGGGTGGTCAGAGAAGGTGCCAAACCTCAAGAGGCTTCAGGTAAGGCTTAAAGAGAGGGAACACAGGGAAGTTGCGGAGGCTTGCCAGGAGGCAGGAACCTCATCTGAAAGAAGCC